TCATGTTTTCTGAAATTTCTTGTAGCGATGAGTAGCTCAGCCTAGTCGCCGCAAGTATGTCGCCATTCTCGCCGGAGAACCAATCGGAGGAGAGTCGACCGTCGATTTCCAGCATGAATTCACGTCGAGAGCCGCTAGAAGAGATCGGGCGCTGCTAAAATGCCATTGACAGTGACGGAGGAAGCTTTTTGTGGCTAGGGACTTAATTTGAAAATTAGACAAGTCACAAGGACCTTTATGCAATTTAAGAATTTTGAGATAATGCTAATACAAAAAGTCATACTTGGTCCATGTTGACTTGGTGATTTTGAGTGAAAGCCTAAAATCAAATGGACTCTTTTATGTGCGCTTTTTACGTGCCCAAGAATAGTGCAAGAGAAAATAACATAGTCCACTATCCAATATTTTGTTTATTAAACATTTACAATTTATTAAAAATCAAAGGCTAAAAATAATAATATTTTTACATAATAATAATAAATTTTAATAATAATAGATTTTTTTTATCTAAATAAAATAAAATAAAACATCGAAAACTAACTGACATGATCGAGTCTCTTTTATGTAAAAAAATGAGAATTGAACCGAAATTTTAAAATTCGGAATGAAAATTTTAGTTTCGACATAATCGGTTTATTTTTTTATTAACATAAATAATAAAAAATTTCCGACATAAATTATATTATTTATTATAAAGAAAAACATGATAAGTATTAAATATTATTTTTTATTATCTTTTAATTAATATATATATATATATATATATAAATGAAATATACAGTGCAATCTAATAAATATTAAGGTGCAAGTCGTACATCACTATGGTGCACGGCTCGGTTTGCATTGTGTAGATTGAACCAACTAATTTTTTGTCCCAAATTAAATTGAAAATGAACATAATTATTTGATCTATTCGTTTCGGTTAACATAATTATCATATTATATTAAAATTATATTTATGTTAATAATTTTATGTTATTTTTGGTTGAATTTTTTTTTTCGGTCGGTTTCAATCTTTATTGTGCAATCTGATAGTCGTTATAAAGTACAACACGCTAAAGTGCAATGTGTTGTTTTATAAAGTGCAACGTGTGGATGTAGAGAGTGTACAACTGTAATTATGGTGCGTTAGCATATTTGTGTTTCTGTGTATAAATAATGATATTGATGTTAAAGTATGTTGTATATATGTCTCTTAGATTTATGTTGTGTGGTATTTCATATATTTGTGGAGCGTGTTGATATAGTGCAACGTGTTGTTTTATAATGTGCAACGTGTTGCTTTACAAAGTTCAACGTGTTAGATATATAAAGTGGAAATCAAGGCTGTTGAGTGATTCTCTCAGGTGGGAGCTAGGGGACGATTCTCTCAGGTGGGAGCTAGGGATTTTCTCCGATTGCCGGCCACATTTTCGGTTCTTTTCCAGATATTTGGTTGTGTTCTCATAGCTCCTTCTTGCCCTCTCTTTTCTCCTTCTCCATATTCAATCTCCGTTTCATTTTACTGGTTCTAGGTTGGGCACAATACCAGAAAACCCAGATGAAGATCTATCGAATCAATTGCGAGTTTTTTCTCTCTCAGATAAAGAAGCCACTTATATTAATATAGCAAGATCGGATATCACATTAAGTGCGGATGAATGTAATAGAAGTCTTTTTGGGAAAATTATTGGGGACTGAACAGCAAGCTGGATTGGAGTCAAGAGAACGATGACGAACATATGGAGGCTCTCTCAGGATATGGAGATAAAAGAATTGAGCCCGAATTACTTCCAGTTCATCTTTCAAAGCAGAGAAGATAAAATGAAGGTGGCCACTGGAATCAACTGGAGCTTTGAAAATCAATATCTTGTTCTTAAGGATTGGAGAACAGGCATCTCAAGTAAGCATCCATGTTTTAATGAGCGTAATTTATGGGTCCAAGTAACAAACACCCCATTGGACTGGTTAAGCACCGAAGTTGGTTTAAAATTTGGCAAGGCATTTAAGCAAGTTAAGAATGTGGTTCTTCCAAGTGCTGGTAACCATGGAGGAAAATATCTGAGACTGTTAGTCACTGTAGATTTGGAGGAGCCTTTACCTCGAGTAGCTAATATCAGGCTTGGAGAACAAACTGCTCAGGTTGGCTTCAAATATGAGAAACTCTTAAATCTCTGTCATTATTGTGGTATGATTGGCCATCTAGACCGCAGCTGCTCAAAGAGAATCTCAGACATAAACAACAATTCTCTCAAAGAAGGACAGTATGGTGATTTTATGAAGGTGTCTGAAGGATTGAAAAGGTTTGATCCTACAACATCAGGTTCTAAAGGAACTCCTCACACAGAGTCTCCCAAAGAAAATGAGCACATGACTCATCCTCAAACATCCTCCCAACAAGCTGAAACTAGCCAGCAACTCATCCACATTCCTGATGTCATACCTGCTACTCTTAATGAAGGTGATCAAGATTCAGCTGCATCTGCCTCTCACTCTCCTGGCAATCAAGAAGCTCTGGTAGAATCATCTCTGCAAATTGTTGAATCTTACAAAGCCAAGGCCATGGAAGTTGATCCAGAATCTCCTCACCCTATCTCAAATTTCTGCCTTAGTGAAACCCTCCCATCTTAGACTACTCAATTGTTGAGGACATGGAGAAGGGAGAGGAACAAAGATGGCAGGCTTCTCAGGGAATCTACCAGCATTATTATCTCTGATCAAGAGCCAAAAGGGAAAAGGACAAGAACAGAGGATGAGGATAATTCTCCCTCTCCTTAGGACTCTCTACAAAACCAATCAGTTCCAAAGAAAAGCAAGCTGCAATTACAGAAGGTGGGGGATGCCAGCCTGGATTGGCACCAACATTCTCAATGTTAGCTCTGGTGTGGAATTGTAGAGGGCTGGGTGGGCCCTCTACAATTTCCCAATTGCGAGAGCTTAAAAAAGCTCATCACCCAAATTTTCTTTTCCTTTCAGAAACTAAAAAACAAAAATCATTTGTTAAATCTATTGGCTCTAAGTTAGGTTATGCAGATAGGCTTGCTATTGTTGATCCTACTGGCCTTAATGGTGGCCTAGTTCTTTTTTGGGACTCTAATGTTGTTATTCAACAAATCATTTGTAAAGATTTTTTATTGCTGTTCAATTCTCTCTTCTTCCTGGCACTCTTCAGTGGGGGCTTTTTGTGTACCTGAATCCCTCCAGAATAATTAGAACAGCTCAATGGGAGGAATTATTGCAGCAAAAGAACACCTGGGGTTCTTGTTGGTTTGCTATTGGGGATTGGAATTGTATCTGTAAGGCTTCAGACAAACAAGGAGGTATAGCAAGAAGCACAACAAGTTTGAGACCATTTAACTCTTTCATTGATTGTATGGAAATGAAGGAACTTAACATGAAAGGTTACCCCTTCACCTGGTGCAATAACAGAGTTCCTGATGAGCTAGTGGAAGAGCAGCTGGATAGAGCTTTTGGTTCACTGGATTGGCACCAGAACTTTCCCAATGCTTCTGTGACTAATATTTTAAGAAGTTCTTCAGATCACTCAGCCCTTCTCCTAAATTCTGGGCTACTCTCGAATTGGAAACAGTCCAGATTCCATTTTGATAAACGGTGGGTCAACAAAGATGGATTTGCGGATACAGTCAAACGGGCATGGCTTATCCCAGTCTCAGGAACTCCTTTCTTCAGACTCAAAGAAAAAATCAAGCACACTAGAATAGCTCTACTCAAATGGAGCTCATCATTTAGATCTCAGAACCAAGCTGTAATTGAAGAGCTTACCCATCAGATGAATACTTTGAATGAGGATAAAATGGGGAACAATTGGGTTATCTGGGATGAAACAAAGAGAGCTCTCAACAAAGCTCATATTCAGGAAGAGCTATATTGGCAGCAGAAATCAAGGCAGAGATGGCTGAAAGAAGGTGATGCCAACACCAAGTTTTTTCATGCATTCATTCTTCAAAGGAGAAAGCAGAATGCAATCACTAGGCTTGTTTCTAATCAAGGAAGAATCTTGACTTCCCAGCAAGATATTGAAGGCCATATTTCAGAATTCTATTCCAACCTATTTTCTTCTGAAGGCAGCTGGGGTGGAGATTCCCTTCTCCACTTAATCCCTCAAACTATTTCAGCTGAGATGAATGATGACCTTCTTAAGCCTGTCACTAAGGAAGAAATAAAGTCAGCTCTTTTCAAATTGCATGCTGATAAAGCTCCTGGGGAGGAAGGGATGAGCTCTTTTTTCTATCAACACTTCTTGGAGCTGGTCAAATCTGATCTCATTGCAGCAATTCTCAGTTTTTTTGATTCAGGTATGTTGCTGAAATATTGGAATCACACCATTCTCACTTTAATCCCTAAGTGCCCAAATCCAGAATCAGTCAGTCATTTTAGACCCATAAGTCTATGTACTGTAATCTACAAAGTTATTTCTAAAGTATTGGCTTAGAGGTTGAAATCTTGTCTTAACTCTTGCATTAGTGATCATCAATCTGCATTTATTGAGGGGAGACAACTCATGGATAATGTAATAATTGCTCAGGAAGCCTTTCACTTTTTGAATAGACACACTTCAGGCCCTAATTTCTTTATGGCTCTAAAACTTGACTTGGTTAAAGCATTTGACCGTGTGGAATGGACTAGTGTGCAAAGAATTATGCTTCAGATGGGTTTTAACAGCAAGTTTGTCAAGCTGATTATGGGGTGCATCACCACTGCTTCATTTTCCTTTAAAATTAATGGCACTGTGGGAGGCTTTGTCAGTCCATCCAGGGGCATTAGGCAAGGGGACCCTCTGTCCCCTTACCTGTTCATCATTGTTGCAGAGCTTCTTTCAGCTTTGATTCTCCAATCTGTTGAATCTAGTCATCTTAAAGGGCTCAAGCTTTCTATGAATGGGCCCCTGCTTACTCATTCATTATTTGCAGATGACTCTATATTCTACTATAAAGCAGGGGTTGATCAGGCTGTCATCCTTATGAACATTCTTGAAAGATACAGACTTTTTACTGGGCAAGCTGTAAACCTCAACAAATCTGCTATCTTCTTTAGCAGGAATACTCCTGAGCCCTTGAAATTGGCAATCTGTGATGCTCTCAATGGTATTGTCTGTCACAAATCAAGCAGGTACCTTGGTTTACCCCTTGGAATTGGCAAATCAAAAAAAGAAGTCTTTGATTACATTATAGATTCTATCAGAAACAAGCTTCAAAACTGGAAATCAAAGCTTCTAAGTCCTGCTGGTAAAGAAGTGCTGCTTAAAGCAATCATTCAAGCTCTGCCAATATTTTCTATGTCTTGTTTTAAACTTCCTTTAACTCTGTGCTCTGAGATTTCCCAAATGTGTGCTAAATACTGGTGGCAGTCTGGTGATCCTCATTCTAAAGGCATACATTGGAAAAAGTGGACTTTACTCTCTTTACCTAAAGGAGATGGAGGATTGGGTTTTCTTGATATGCAGGTTTTTAATCAGGCTCTAATTTGTAAGCATCTTTGGAGAATTGCTTCTCAACCTGAGCTGCTAGTGAGTAAATTTTTGAAGGACAGATACTTTCCTAATTCTGCCATCACTCATGCTTCTAAATCTGCAAAGGGTTCCTGGATGTGGAACAGTTGGATGGAGGTAATTCCTTTTTTCTCTAAGTGGCTGAAAACTGAGATAAGGAATGGCATGAAAACTCAAATAGCTAATTTCAATTGGGTGCCTTCTCTTCACAAGCCCTCCCCAACTTTAATTCCTTTGGCCAGAGAGCATTTAATTTGGGTCAAAGAACTTATCAACTCTGATGGTCCTTCTTGGAATGAGTGGTTGGTTAGACAGGTATTCGACCCTCTGGATAGTGAAGCAATTCTCAGAATTTCTACTCTTAATCCAGTCAGGCATGACAAACTTTATTGGGGGCTAGATTTGAAAGGTCTGTTTTCTGTTGCTTGCACCTACAAATTTCTCTCCACAGTTAAGCTTGCTCTTCTTGACATTCCTGAGTGTAGTTCCAGCACTTCCATCTGCAAATCAGTAAAATTCAGATTCTGGAAAGTTAAAGTTGCTGGAAAATTGAAGCATTTTCTATGGAAGTGTATCTCTAGAACTCTTCCTGTGGCAGTTCTTCTGAGGAAAAAGAAGGTTAATGTTGATCCCATCTGTTCCATTTGTGGAGATGCAGCTGAAACTATAGAGCACATTCTTCTCTCCTGCTCCAGAGCATGCAGAGTTTGGGACATTGCACCTGTTTCATGGCAAGGTCTCCTCAGCAGCACAGACTCTTTCAAAGAATGGTGGTTCAAAATTTGTTCCCTTGATTATTCTGAAGTCACTGAAACAAGAATCCAGCTTTCTACTTACATCCTTTGGTGGCTTTGGAAATCAAGGAACTTGTTGGTGTTTCAACAATCCTTGATGCCTGTATCTCAAGTCATTAAGACAGCCCATGATGACTGGCTTCAATTCTTTTCTGCTTGTAGCTCTTGATTTGTTGTTTAGTTTAGCTTTTTATTTTCCTTTTCGGGTTTTAAATTTCTTGCTAGGCCTTTGGTAGTAGAAGGAATTTATTTCCCTAGTTTCCTTTTCTTTGTTCTTGTTCCTCTTGTTGAGGCTCTAGGCCACTTCCGGGTGTGTCTCTCATTTTTAGGTTTGTATTCCAGTTGTACTGGCCTTGTATTTGGACTATGTCCCTCTTTGAGTTTATGATAATTGTTCTGTCGTTTTGGAAAAAAAAAAGATATATAAAGTGCACTACTTTATATGAACGCATATAAAGTATGTGTCTTTTAAAACTAGATGTAGTAAATATAGTTGTAAATCGAATTAACCTAAATAATTAAAATAATTTATTATTTATTATTACAAAACTATATTTGTTAATACAAAACTATATTTTTATGTATTAAAATTTTACATATTAAAATTTGTACACTTTATTTTTCATTAATATGCATTTAAGAAAATATTGCTACAAAGTACATATTCATGAACCAATTAAAAAAATATTCTAAATTAATAATACTACAAAATTGTCCCACAACACTATCTTTTTTTTTAAGTCAATAAAATTCTAAATCTCTAATTTGAATTTATTATTGAAAAAATGGAAATAATTTATTATTTATATATAAAAATATGTTTAATATCTTTTGGTTGAAAAAAATATATTATATATGTTATTATGTTTATTTAACATTTTATATTAGTTTTGTTTGAAAAATACTTTATAAACACATGCATAAAAAATATAAAACAAAATAGTTCTTTATATAATTTTATAAATTATAGATTTGGCCCATGGGTTTAATTGAAAAACAATCAAGTATATGAAATTGAAAATAGGTCCCTCAAATTTATCCAATTCTCAAAAACACAACCCCAAAAAAATAAAGCTGCCCTAATTAAATGTTCAGATCTGCGCCATCATTGTCCTGGCCTCCCGTCATCCCTGCCGAGAACGTCCGCGCCACCGCGTGCTCTGTCCGTATCTCCATCGTCGCCGGCGTGTCCCATTCGTCCGCCTCTGACGGAGTTGAAAGGTGTGGACACCTCCAGCGCCGGGCCATCATCAGCCACCATCGTGAACGCTTGTGTTGCGTTGCCGCCGATGTCCGTTCGCCGGGTTCTTTATTGTAGCAGCTAGACGAGTTGGAACTCTGGACGTCGAATGGACTACCGAGGGGCTCTATGGCCGGCCGACGAGAGGAATCTGATGGACACATCTTTGGAAGTAACTCCGTCTGTTGTTCATGCTGATAATGGAGGGAGACGGTGGCGGTGGCAGAAGCAATGGCGAACAGAGGATGTGGTTGCCGGCGGTTGCGGGAGACGAACGGTTGGACAGAGATTAAGGGCGGTAGCGGAGGTAGGAAGGTGGCGGAGGCAGAGGCCATCTGGTGGCAGTGCCGGAAGTCAGCCGGTGGCAACGCCGGAAGTGGGCCGGTGGCAGCGCCGGAAGTCGGCTAGTGGCAACTGAGACTGTGTGTGTGATTGTTGTGTGTATATGTGTGTGTATATGTGTGTGCATGTGTTTTGTGTGTGCTGATGTGTGTGTGTCTGGCGTGTGTGTGAGTGTGGTGTGTGTGTGGGTTGTGATGACGTGGCGTGACCATTGATCAGTGGATTTTTGTTTGATTGTAATGGTAATGTCCAAATTACCCTTAATGAAGTATAATTTTGACTTTTTTTTAGCCATTAGATCATTCGATTTAATGGCTACGATTTATTCTCATTTCTTTCACTAAACACCATTCTCATGTAAACACCATTCTCATGGGTTCCAGTGAGAATGACTCTTAATGAAGGAAATGAGAATAAATTGTGAACATTGGATCAATTCAATCTGATGGACATAATCAATTCGCTGGAACTAAAATTCACGCACGTACATAGACCATTGGAGGGTACTAATGTAAATTACCTATCAACTAATTCCCGCACATACAGAGACCGAGCACTCATTAAAGACTGGAAACCCTTTGCTACTCCATACCTGCCCAAAAGCTCGTACCTCAAATCTTGCAGCTGTGTATCTCTTTAGATCGATTAAGACAAAATCAATGGGGAAAAATTATGCTCGCTTGAAATTTTGCAACTGATCTTCATTATTTCGAGCCCATTTTACCATAACCAATTAGATTTCCGTACCAATTACCCGTTCGTGAGTTCGAAACTTCAGATTGATCCATCATATTACATACTCGACGGCCTCAGGTATATCTTCCAATTAAACTTCCGATTTTGGTCAATTGTTGTACAAAATCAAGTGTTCTCGATTTAATTATCGACATGTCAAGATATGTAATATTCATAGGTAATACGTGGATAGTTGATCTGATATACTTTGATTTTTCATGTGAATTTAGGGATATCATAGCTTTCTTTGTTGAACAACATAAACAATGTATTTAAATGACTCTCAACCAGGTACTGAGGTCAATTTTATCTTTACTGTGATAAAGTGCAACTGTCGATTGTATTGCGTGCAATCGTCTGTTCTCACCGGTGCAATCGATGAGCTCAGTTATTACTACTAATATTATTTTTTTTCCCCTTGCAATGGCACTTAAGGAATGCAACTGTCGGTTACACAGCAACAACTCTTAATCACACCGGGTGGAACGAAACATTGGATGCCACAATGTGACGAATCGATTAAACCATATAAAGGACAAAGATTCTAGGAATTACATGAAGCGGTGAACTTCTACAATGCTTATGCTCTGACTGTTGGGTTTGACGTGAGACATAGCACATTGGTGAAAGCACGTGACAAGACGGTTATTTGAAAGTACATTGTGTGCTCGCGAGAGGGTCACAAGCATCATGCAGTCATCAGTCCAACAGTACATGCTAAAGGACACGTGACAAGACGTAGAGTGTCCAACCGGGTAGGATGTGCTGCCAAGATTGGGATTCGATATGATGGATTGAATGGATACGTCATTAAAACCTTTGAGGCAAAGCACAACCACTCGATGACATCTGAAGATTGCAGGTCACAAATGAAGATCAATAGGTCGATGAATGCAGGACATCGGTCGTTCGTAATGAATTGCATAAAAGCAAATATAGGGTCGGTCAAGGCGCACTGATTGTACAAGGAGATGGTTGGAGGGTATTCGAACGTTGGAGCCACCAGCGTGGATTTCAAGAACTTAAAGCGGGAACTCCGTGCGTACATCGTAGGAGCTGATGCACAATTGATTATCGATAAATTCCATAAGCGTCGGGAAGCAACCTCAGCCTTCTACTTCCAGTACGAGCTCGACAAAAAAGAGCGTTTGAAACAGCTTTTTTGGGATGATCCGATTTCGAGGAGGAACTACGGTTCGTTTGGTGATGTTGTATCGTTTGATGCAACGTACGGCACCAACAGGTAGGCATAAATTTCACATACATTTTCTAACGTAGTTTGTCAGGTCAATAACATTTTTTGCACTAGTCAACAGTAATTGCACTTTATACAATTAACAATTGCACTATGTACATTTAGTAATTGCACTTTATACAGTCAGCAATTGCACCTTGTATTTTCTCTGGTTGTCCAATATAAACATTATCACATGCGTACTAACTGAAATCTCTCAATGTGTAGGTACAACATGATTTTTGCGCCTTTTACTGGAATAGATAACCACAACAAGTGTGTTATGTTTGCCGCCGTGTTAATATCAAAAGAGGATGTG